ACATTAACTAGAGTATTGCACATTGCAAGGGCCACTGTAATGACCAATGACTCATGAGGGAAGGAAGGACGGAGGAACAGTTTGATGGCTACAGACAGGAATGACTTCCTGTGGTGTTCTGTGGTGCATCTCAGTGGAATAAGTCTGAAAGTCCTCCTGTGTTTAACCAGCACGTCATGGAGTGGGTGGGAGACATTGTCCAACATGATGACATTATATTTAGGAATGAGGCTCATAACTACAACAAAGCCCAAGTGATAAATTATCATTTCACAAAACAAATATGCTTTCTCTCAATGAGCATTATTTAAACAATAAAATATGCTATTTTGCAATACAACCAAAGTAAATAAACATGACAAAATAATTTCATAATTTTACTTATTAGATTTTTTGGAGCCTTCAACTAATAAATCAAAAAGAATAACCCAACTTATGTAAACAAGGTATATATGAATAATAAATTCAAAATCAGAATGCCATCAAGTGAGACATGGATTGTGGGATATCTGTGGGATGAAAGATCTACTCACTGTACATCTGGCACTAGTTCAGAATGGGAAAATCCTTACATATTATGTCAGTATTATGACCCTAGGTCATCTTATATGATGCTGGTTTCAGCACAGCGATATGATCCGAGTATCTCTTACTCACAGAAGACATTTTGACATGTCACAGTAGCAAAAGCACAGGTGTGAAAAATAAAATGAATGATGGCTGAATTCCATTTCGCTGCTTCAGTTTATGGTCCTGGTATTGAGCGTGCTGACTCGCTGTCACACTGTCATGACTTACTGGGACACGGAAATAGAACTGAGCTCATTAATGTTATTACAAGTCTGTGTTGAAGTCAGTTTAGGTGAGGAAGGTCTAATGTAGATATGTTTATTATAATAATATAATATATAATAATCATATATTTTATTGTAAAATATTACATGTATAATTTTATTTCCTTTTCAATTCAGTATCGTGTATTGTAAAGGAAACTGTTCTAATATATTTTGCTCTGTATGTGTCATTCATTTTGATTTGACCTATTTAGTGTTTTGTACAACGTCGTGGAGTTTTGGACAAGAAGAGAAAAAAGAAAGTTCTTTAATGGATGAACAATAAAAACAAGCAGCTCCAGCTGTTGTTTGTATACTTGGCAAATCTGTGAAACATGCAGCAGAAACACAGAACGCAATTTAAGCCAGAGAGTTTATTTATTCAGCTCACAGAACATTAATGACAAAGCCAAAATTACAATAACACAAGTCTTTGTTCAACAATGTCGCATTTTGTCCAGAGGTGCAATATTTTCCTTAAAACATCATATTTTAAATATAATTCTGTTACAGTTTTGTAGATTTTCTGAACCATACACAGAATCTCTCATGAATCCTTGCTGAATATACGTCAATTATCTCGTATGTGGGGAAAGAGTTTTGTAGCTAAAATTCAATACCATGAATATACCATTATGACTATCTTTCTGTATCTTCTTATTATTCTCCGGCCACAGGAACATTATCACGTCACAGTGGCCAAAATTCTAACACTTGCTTTAATTGGACAGGATAAGAGTATCATCTTAAACACCTACACCCATAGACAACTGTCTCTGATCCAAAGTGGCAGTCGTCCCACACTAGTTCCTGAGTGAGTCTATCGCCTCAAACTGACAACATCCCTATTGTTTCCTGCCGAATGCTGCTGAACATTTAGAACACAGGTGTCGTCCTTTCACTCCTGAACTCAGCTGTTTTGTGTAGCAACATTGTTCATCACAAAATAACTACTAAATATCTGCAGGGAGTTAATATGATTCTTTCATCATCACTGCTGACTCATGCATTAGCTTTCCGTGTTGATATTCCTGGCTCTCGCTCTCTGGCCTGGTCTCTGTTTTGGAACAGAATGGTATCAAGATGGTTTCCAATCCCCCCACAAGCTACTCATTATCCAGCTGTCATGCTCCACAGTGAAGGACATTTCTACAAATACGCAACCATCAAAGCACGCCTGTGGAAACGTTTAATTGAACATCAAAATTACAGTAAGAGGACCTACAGTTCTTCTTAGCTCTATGAGCGTTTTAGCACTTTTGGGCTCATTGTTTTGGTTTTTTCGCTCTCATCAGGGTCGTTTCCAGCAGCAGCAGGCAGCTGTTTTTAGCTAAAAGCTCTTAATAAATTCACTGTACATCTTGTTAGAGTTGCTAACTTTATAAGCTGATAAAGAGTCAGATGCTAAGAGAAAATAAAAAGCAAACCAACTAATGCTGTTTTAAAGATTTTCATCCAAATGAATGCCTGTTAAATCACTATCGTCCAGTGAGGTAACACAGTAGTGATTGAGCCTATGGCCCACTGATGAAAGACAAAAATAGCAAAACCAACATAGATGCCATAATTCAATGATATCACATCATACAGTATCTTCTTCTGCAATGGTTTAAACACGTTAAAAATGCACACCAGACCACCAGACCTTTGTTATATATTTTGAGTTGTGTACTTACATTATCTCAAACGTTTCCAACAACGCTTAAAATCTGCTGTGTTTCGCCATTCGCCTGTCAATGGCCTTTGCACATGCGTCAGAGTCATCAATTGACTTTTTATCAAGTTTTAAGCCACATTTTGATACACTTTTTTAGACCCTGGTCATTTTTAACTATATCTTTTAAAAAAATATTTCTTAATGTTAGCAGCAGCTAGACATTCTTTGTCTGCCAAACAACATCAGAGAAACACTGATTTTTAATGTAAAACTGCTTTATTCAGGGTTTTTTACTGGTTTTAATCACAGGGTCTGTTTGTTTTGGAGAGGAGGAGACCTCTGTGGATAATTGGGCTCCTGGTAGAAACCTCCTGAAACCAATAAACACAGAATGATTCCTAAGAAGCAATGATGAGCAATCGTGGTAAAGACAACAACTTTCATGATCCCATACTGCTTCACAACGTATTTTTCTTGTTCTTTTCTTGTTGTTTTTAAAGACCCCCTAGCAGCAGAAATGATATATTGTAGTGCCACCAACTGTTTATCTTGATGAACCAACTCCTAATATAAATTCATAAATTCACAAAATGCTAAACAAAAAACAGAATATTTGTTGAATCGCTGTTGTTGCAGTTTTTTTATTGGTTACTAGTATAACGGTCACTTGAAAAGAAGAATAATCTGTTCGGTTTGTGTTGCATTAGGTTGTTAGAAAAGACGACACAGGCTGTTACTGTTGCACGATGGAGAACCTCTGTAATAGATACACACGATATAATTGCAGTGTGACTGTAGTCCTTCTGTCCACATTAAAAGTTGCAGTTCCTATGGGGTCACGGTTGGCCTGTAACATTCCAACAGGAAGTCCCACCTCCTCCTCCTCCTCCTCCTCCCTTTGTTTTAATGAAGCCCCTGGGAGGTTCTGGAAAGCCCTGGAACTGAATGCAGTCCATCCCGTCCAAACCACCGCCTCCTCTTCAGTCCCAGCGAGCTTGGACCAAACCCTGCTCTGCCTCCTGCCCCGTCACCACGGCAACTGCAAACAGGACGGGGGGAACAGGGTCCTGCTGAAAACGGGGCCTATGATTTCAACAGATGTCACGACACACAGGCAACACAGAAAAACGCTCGGCTCTGGTCAGTTTCTAGCGTGACTCTCCGTAGATCTGATCCACAGGCAACATATTTTCTATATTATCGGGGTTAGAGCTCCACGTTGGTTGCTGCAGCGTGGGTCATCACTTTTAACAAGGCAAAACAGCTGGCCTAAGGTGTCACAACATAAAATTCAGGAAATCGACACTAGACTGTATAACAACCTATCTAACCCTGTCGTCATGACAAAGGTGGGGGGGAGGTATTTGCACCCATACAGCATGCCTCTGTATCCTCCTATTGTCCCGGCCATGCGTCATGTCCACACTGAGCGGGCGGCTGAAGCCAGTCTCGACATGGGATTGTTCTGGACCACAGTCGGGGGAAATGCTTGGGAACTCCACTTCCCAGCGTGAGAGGAGACGGAGAGCAGAACGGCTCCCCGGAGGCGCAGCCGATGACCCCGTTGAGTGCAAAATATGCAGAGGTCACCAGATTCCTATTGGGCAAGAGCTAAATATGACTGACACCGAGCAGCAATAACGCTTGACTCCAGAGCTGCTGGGGAGACACGCTATTTATTTGCAGGCAGATAAATGTCAAGCAAACAGTTCAGAATTTCAAACATGCTTTCAGTAGACAAATAAAATCGGGTATGTACACTGAGAGGAGGAGGAATTTCAGCTCAATTATAGCAGAGAAAAGAGCTATGAAGTAAAAGCAACAATAAAAAGAAGTAGCAGAAGATTTTGTAGCTCTTCACAGCCACCTGTAGCTGTATTTTAACCTTTTTTTAAAACTGTAATATTGATGTTTCATTGTATCTGCTCTCAAACTGTGATGTTTTAATTCACCACAATGGACTGATATATTTTACTGCTCCGTCCTAGTGGCCTCCGCTCAGGGAGTGCAGATGGAAATTACTAGTTTATAGTCTGGAGTAGTGCAATGTCCCTGTTAAATAAACAAACACAATAATAAATACATGCTTTCAGTTAACACTGGCACAATATGTTGTTAGGAGGCAAAAATGTAAATGTACAGTGCAAACTGAACATTATACTGTACTGACAGTTTCATTATTTGCCCTGACATCAAGAAACATACCAGTACTCAGTACCTGTGACTATGATTTCTATGTGTCAGTTAAGTGTCAGTTATTTTTATTATATTGTAAACACACACTGTTTGAATATGTACCACATGTCTTAAAGGTCCCGTCTACTGTTGGGTCGTTTAATCTGCAGCACTGAATCATCTTCTATAAGATCATCATATGTTTGTAGCGTCGCTGTCCTGTGAGAACCACATATCTCTAAGAAGTCATCTGAGCTCAGCAGAACAGCCCCGTTATCAGCTTTGTGACGATGCATTTTCCAACTAATCCAACAGGGTTTTTAAATAGTTTATTTATCTTAAGAAGTGGGGGAATTTTCTCAACCCATAAAAGAATATTTAACCCTTCAGTTTATCACAAACATTCAAAATCACCAAATTTGGAGATACATGGTTTTCACTGGACAGGAATAGTATGGAAAATAGTGAGCTAAAAAGTGAGTAAAGCTGTCATACAGATGTCATGGAATAAAGTATTGCAGTAAAGTAGAAGCATAAAGTAGCATGAAATCGAAATACTCGAATAAAGTGTACAGTAACTTGAATTTGTACTTCCAAAGTAATTGAGTAAACGTATATAGTTACATTCCACAACTGACTACCAGTGTATATATGTGTTTGCATCCAGTATGAGCAGCACATCACAGGTCGAACATGTAAACCATCACTGCATTAGTGGGAATCACTCGCTGTACTTACAGGCTTTTGCACACACACACACACACACACACTGTATATGCACGAATGCATACATTCAAACATCCCTTTCAGCACCTACCAGTAGAGGTCGCTGTTCTCCTGCTGCACCCTGCAACTCCTGTGACCTTAGAAAGGGTGGTGGCAGCACCTTTAGGTCCTCAGGTCACAGTGTGGAGAGCTTCAGATCACAGAGCAGGTTCACTGTCTGCTGCTGCTTCAGAAAACACTACAACGCCGTTTATATAATATACATCTGAGTAACACAGCAACAGGACCGGAGTGGGCAGAGGAACAACAGTCGGTAATACAGCTGAATCTACAGAAAACAAAGCTTTGTCCGTGAGATTCAATTATAGAGATTTTCCAGCTGATGCTATAGATTGTGTTTGACTAAATGCCAGTTGAGCATTTCATTTCATTTCGTCATTGTTGCACTGTGCCAATAATTGAGATGTTATCGAATTTGTCAGTTTCCATAAAAGTTTTTCCCCGTGAGTCTGAGTTTGCCGTTGTTAAAAGGTTTTTGATTTATCATTTAGAGCATCAGTGGAGTCTATAGCTGAGTCAGCAGGGTGGCACATTTTATTTCCAGGGTCGTTGAACAATGAACAAACTTAACATGATCTGACTGATCAACTAAACCGCTGGAGAAAATAATTCAGAATACAACTAAATAACACACATGCCCACCCACCTACAGATTTACAGTGGAACAGTATGTTTCTGTTTTTGAGAGAAAGTTAGAAAAAATGTTGAGTCATGTTTGCCTTAGTTGGAAATAAGGTATTTTAAAAATCCTTATCTGATTTCACAAAGGTTGAATTTGAAGAGATGTGACATTTTAATCACGTCATTTAAAGGGTGTTGTCAGTTCTGCCTGAATCCTGCAGACATGCTGAATACTGAGAGCTACATTATAATCCTCAACACATTCTTTTTTAATAAAATTACTGGACTTTGTGTCCATGTTGTTTGTTGTTTGTGTTGTTTTCATATACAATTATGTAAGGGGACTTTAGCTTTGTTTATTGTTGCTATTAATATAGCTATTACTAGTAGTAGTAATAGTAGCTGTGATGGTGGTAGTGCTTCATTTACACAAAGAAGAAAATCCAAAAGCACCAAAGGTTGAATAGCAAACAAAACATTTGAGTATGAAAAACAATAACTTTTATAATATATAATTAGAATTAAAGTATTTGTAATACTAGTGGTAGTCTTAGCTGTGCTCACAGATGAACATCCACCAAATCAGAAATAGGCGACACTGTCTGGCTGATATTTGATCAAAATTAAATTAAATGCTCAGCACACACACACACACACACACACACACACACACATGCAGGTGTTTTCAGTTACTCTGTCTGATCAGACATCTGGTCAGGCTGAACGCTGGAAAGCATGTGAGGGCCATGTGCTAATAAGAATAATAAAGGTGTAATTTCTCCTGCCTGAACAGGTGCAACAAAGCCAACAGGGGGTGTGACGGAGGTGTCAATCAAGCACAGTCACGCCCACACAGCCTTTAAAAGAGGTTTTAATCAGGAAAAGTGAGTGAAAACACATGTGGAGGTGAACCGCAGGTGTTAATGAAACTCTATAGCTTCATTTTAAGTATATAGTACAGTATATTAACAAACAAATAAAGAAAGTTCACCAACTGTCTCCATGGTAATCACACTATTGCTCCTCTAGCTACTATCAGTGGTGTAATGTAATGAAGTAATGATACTAACACTTTTTAGGCATTTTCAGTAGTTTACTTGAGCATTTCTGTCAACTTTCACTTTTACTTCACTACATTTCCAAAATAAAATGCTGTAAGCATCTTCATTACTGACTACAAAATTAAACATGAATTGATCTGGTAGCCTAACACAGACTGCAAGCAAGCAAGTGAATCAGAGTGGTCCTAGCTTGTATGCAGGAGCGGATCTAGATGGCTGACATGCAGCTGCCACCCCTAAAAAATGCTGGCCACCCCAGTTTGGGGTCAACATGGTAAGATTAATTTAGATAACTTTTAAAATAACGTTTTAAAAAGCAGAAATTCATTGAATGATCTGTTTTGGCCTTGTTTTAGACCAAGTGTTTAAGTTAAAAGAAAAACAACCTTTAGATATTTTTATTCAGTACTTACACTACACAATAATGTAATGTTTTTGAGTTTAAATATCTTTTTCAAACAAATACTGATATGTGATTGTTATATATCTGCAACCCCTTAAAGCCTCACTGTTTCTTTATGTTTGAAGTTAAGTTTGTGTAATTAATGTTTTATTTATGAATTCTGACTGCTTGCTTTTTTATTAACAGCATTTACTTGTACTTACTTTCAATACTTCAGTACATTTATTATCAGATACTTTAAATAAGAAGTCACCTATTATAAAATTCAATTCAATTTTATTTGCTATCAGCGCCAATTCATCAACAGAATTATCTCAGCACTTTTCAAATAAGCAGTCCTAACCGCGGGAACTCCCTTTTAACATTTACCAGGAGTACCAACAATAAAAAAAAAAGCGATTCTAACTTCACGTCTGGCGCTTTATCCACCACTGTTTACCATCAGATCTGCTTGGATAAAGCTTCAATCCAAGTACAGACATTACAAATCACAAACCTGTCTCCTAGAAGTTTATAAATTATATTGTTTTCCTAGCTACATTGCGATGACAGAAAACATTTGCTGGCTGGATTACATTCAAAGACAACGTGTTTTTGATTGAATGGAGCGCTACATTCATGTGCCGAACCGGAGTTGCAGGGCGGTGGTTTGAGTGGATGGTGGACTCTTTGACACCAGAGTTTAGGGTTCAGTGTCCTGTGTGGTTTAGGCAACAAAAGCACTTTAGGTTAAGGTTATGAAAAGATTGTGTTATTGGTTTTTGATTAAGTCACTGCGGCCTTTTCCTGTAATAAACCAGGCTCTTTCCCTGACCTTAACGAAGTGCTGCCTAAACATAACCATAAGAAACGTTTAATAAAGCTCTAGTGCACGGATATTGTATTGCAAGACTGGATATTATGGCAGGAAAAAATGAAATGTGTTGTCAGTGAACATTTTACTGATACGTTCAGCTTTTTCCGACTTGCCAGATACATTAATTAGCAAAATTTCCTCACTATGTTAATGAAAAAACGCAATCCTGGTGACATTACTGTACGTTTCCTTCAAAATGTATTTGCTATATAGAATAAGTTGCATATGAACATAATTTCTAGGACCCAGGGTTGCAAATCAAACACTTATCACTGACCCAACATGCTATAACTGCGTGACGATGCTCAGCAGAAATCAATCTGATGGCGCTGAGTCTGAATTAAGTGTTAATGAGATTCACCAGCCCCAACACATTGACTTAACATTAGTCAGAAAAACAGGCCGGTCCCCCGTACAGTAACTTCACGGAATAAATGCTCTGGGAATCATCCAGAAACTCTCAGGAACCTAAAGAGAGAAGGAAGCCGTAAAATCATAAAAGGTTGACTTCACTCTTCTGAATGATTTGCCTTATTGGAACAGCATGTTGAAGCCGGACCATCAGAGGGACGCCAGAGTGATGCAATATGGCCAGAGCTCTTCCACAGCCATTGGACTGAGCCTGCAACGTTGTGTGCTTTAGTGTTGTGGAGCAGGAAGTTCAGCGTGCGGGGTGGGTTTGGTTGGATGGTAGGTGGGCGGGCGGGCTATCCAATTGAACAAATAAAAATCACTAATGGCCCGGTTCACAAATTGAGAAGCCTGGCGTTGTTCCCCCCGCCTGGCACCCACTCCCACTCGCTTGAAGATGGCCGAGGAGTGTGAAGGGGGCGAAATGAAGGAGGGCGTTTACAAATTTAGTCTGGGAGGAAACGGGCTTAGCACTGTGGCTGGCTGGAGCCGGTGCCGCTTTTGGTTTTGGCGGTTGTACCGGGTCCAGATCTAAATGGAGGTTTTAGTGCGGCGACCCCGAGCCGTTTGAGGTGTGGTCTGACTCGGTGCGAGGCCCTGCACAGCATCACACACGTCTACTCAGGCTCCAATGCATTCAAGCTGGAGGCGGAGGGGAGCCATCACACCAGGCAGCTCCAACCGCCCCCCATTATAGATGATGATCTCACTCCGGCTGTCCGCGGCCATTACAGACACAGAAAGTGGCCACCTAAGAGCTGCACTGCTCGCTCAATGTGACTCTATTAGAGCGGGAAATCAGACCGTAAAGGCAGATTTTCACAAAGATATCATCATTGTCAGATGAGAGCGCTTATATCTCTGAAAGGGTAACTTTTTAAAGAGAAAACAGGTTGTTTTAGGCCGGATGTCCATGTTAGTTTTTCATTTATTAATGAATATTATAATCAAAATGGGTCATCTGTTTTTTTTTCGTCCAAAAGCAGACAGATAATATAGTAAATTACAAAAATTGGCAGTAATATTCCAATATGAATAAATAATTAAGGTAAAAATGGCAGCTCTTAAACAACTGAAGCAAAATGTGATTAAAAAGTCTTCAGACAAAAGAGCAAAAAGTTTAATAGTGTTTAAAAGTAAGCCACAATTTGAAGTCTGACAATTCTAACTAACTCATTTTTTACTCTTTCACTTACAGCAAATAGTTGAGACTCATTCAAACTGCAGAAGAATAAATACACAAATGTTTTTTTTTTCAATCTCAGGCATTACATTAAGTGAGTTCAAAAAATAACAGACACATCCAAAGCTGTCAACATTTTCCTTTACGCTGTCACCGCACTGAAAAAGCTGCTGTTCTCCTTGTGTAATCGAGCTGTAAATGGAGACAACATTTACTGTCTCACTTCGTCATATATCACTGACATCCCGCCATCGTCCGTACGGACAATATTCCTGACAACTGCTGTAAATCTGCGGCTGAAGCCTGAAAGGAAATGAGCAGCGACGACAGTTTCCTCGCCGCCCGCAGATGTTCATCTCAACGCTGCAACACTGTCACTGTCCCTGATCTGTTATTATAGTCGCAAGATCAAACCAGGGAAACATGTATTTATCTCTCTGAGGCTCAGATGCTCCAGCATAGTCACAATTAAAAAAAAAAGGAGTTTGTTTTACTTACTGAGTCAAATGGTGAATTGTACTTTTGCTACTGTGCATCTAAAACAATACAAAAGTCCCTTTCAATGAAACTTTGTTGGTGAAATTATTATTTTTATTTTAGTAAAAAGCAACTCACAGAGATCATTTTGTCCTCAAACAAATCCCTTGTAGGCAATGATCTTTAGATTATATCCTGTGTAACTCAATTCTAACTTTCATGCCAGCAATCGTTTCATAAGAGGAGCGGATATCAAGTTTTTCAGAAGGTGGAAATATTATATCAAATATTATATAAATTTCCATTAAAGTCAGCAATCTCTGCTCTTAAATGTTTCAGTGAATGCCAAAATCCTGCAGGTTTATTTACCAGGATGACATTTGTTATTACCAGCAGGCTAATTTAGGATATATTGGCCTTACTGCTGTTACAGAACACATCAATTCTAATCTCACAGTGCTTGGCTACATGCTTTATATATCAAGAGAGGCTCCCTGAGTGTTACACGCTCTGAAATGTTTCCATATTAGCTGGTGAATAAAAAAAAAAGAGGAAAATGTCTAATAATGATTACACACACACTGGGTCTTTTTAAATGCTCATATTATAGTCTGAGGCCGAGAGCTACATCAAAGCTTCCTGCAATAAAGCATATAACACATCAGGGGCTGTTAAACTCAGGGAAGTGAGTGCAGTTTGGCAATGAAAACAGCTAAGAGGATGACATTTTATCATACGGTTTCAAACAGTCTATCAGAGACTGAAAGTTGTTGCTTTATTTTCTGAAAAATGTTTCAATAACAGTTGTTGTTAATGCTTCGATTTACTAATCATATAAAGTTTAGTCATACTGTTTCATGTCAGTCATTTTGGTTAACACCCCCTGTTTAGCATTTACATTTAGTATCTAAACATTACATTTTGATAAATGGTTTATTACGACTGCCTTGCCACCCCAGTTTGGTGATAAATGCTCAGATTTAACGCATTAATTAAGACAAATTTTTTTTAAGTGTTAAAAAAAATTAATTAACGCATATAGATTAAAGATCTGTTATGGCTACATTTTAGACTAAGTTTAATTTTAATGAAAAAGATAAAGATGTATTGATTTCATATTCCACCTTTATTTCTATTCAGTGCTTCAGTAATGTGCCACAATAATGTTTTTGAGTTAAATATCTTCATTTCATTTCACTTTTCCCAGCAAATATTGATCTATGTGATTGTTTGTGATTAAATCAGCGTATATTTCTACCACTCCTTAAAGTCCCTTCCTCTAGATCCACTATGCCTGTTATGTAGTTGTATGCAGCTATATGGGGATTTTTATGTATTGTAAGTACAGTATAACTTTTCCTATGAAGACATATTTTACATTAATACAGCTGTGTTTTACTATATTGTCTTTAATTATCAGTTTATACCTTAACTGAGTTTTAGTTGTTGATAAATGCATTAATGAACACTTATATTGCTCATATATATCCTAGTTTGTTATAAATAATTCATTAAATGTTTATATTCTGCTTATAAATGCAAAATAAGGGGATTTAAAATAAACTGTTTTTTTTATGTTTTATGAGCTTTAAAGGACTCCTGTGACATATTAATGTCAAGGCTGCACTACTTTTCTGTGGTATTATATTTTGATCATTAGTGTATTACATCTCTGCAAAAAACTAAACTTTATCCGGGAGTGAAGGTTGCAATAAAAAAAACCCTCAAAATTGACCATGAAATGACCATGTAAGCTTTGACTTCACTTGAGAAAAGGGCTAAAGTGGTGGTTGCATGTTTGTTTTGGTGACGGTGGCACTGAGCTGTGTTTGCTGTAATCCTTCCTGCCTGCGTGACTGACAGCCACAGGTTGAGCAGCAGGTCTACCTTCGGTTTCTGTCTACTCTGGAGAAAACCGCCCGACCTCACCGCCCCGCAACTGCGTCTAGATCTTCAGATCCTACTCACCGTTCTGACCTCTTCACCTCTTTTTATTCTCCTCTTCATTTCACATGTCATCACATCCAAGGATCGACAAATATGTGCCTTTGGAGGCCAGTACAGGTAGTTTTAGAATTATGTCATGGATGGTTTGTGCCAGTATCTTAAAATGAGACCATTTTCATGTCCAAACAAAGTTTCCCATTGGATTTTATTCAATACAGACTGGAAAACTTTTGGAACAGTATTTACACCACCATGGGACACTAAAAATCCTCACTGAATCCAAACTAATAACATTTATTTCAGGGTTAGCAGCTCTTAAAGGAACCTCTTGTATTCAGTGGTAGGAAAAACAAACAATGATACACTGACATAAAAAGAATTACATTAAATTAATAAAAGTTGTAAAGAAAATAACATTTAACTTATGGATATTATGTGGAACCTCAACCCTATCTGAAGTGCACAACATGACTGGGTGATGCCTAATATTTTCACAATAAAAGTCCAGCATTGGCCTGATAAATGAATGTAACCCAATTTTACACACACACAAACACACACAACATACACACACACAAAACACACACCACACACACCACACACACATACACACACACTTATTCACACAGTGGGAGATTTTGCCTCATATAGCCCACAAGGGGCAAAGACTAGGATTGACTGAAAACACCCACACCACAGGCCATCACTGCTGCGAGACCAGCGACAGGATTGGAAACACGTGTGAATTAATACCTGCTCATGGCCCTGAGCAAATATATAGCCTCGGCTAACCTGCTAATAGCCTTAATTTGTAAGGTAAACAGTAGAAGAGTTTGACACTCACTCACCTAAGGTGCCTTTCCTCTGCTGCGCTGCCTCTGCTGCCTTCGGCTCCGGCTTTGGAGGGACTGGGGGTGGGGGGGTTGCAGCGACAGCGGCAAAGTTACAGCCTGCCTCCGCCATGCTATCTGTTAAAGTAATTTTCTCTCAAAGAGGAATTAATTTCCTTTCTCAGGCGGCCCACAGCGCCTGTGGCACAGCCTGTGTCGTCCACCCGGATCCCCAGAGTGTGGAGTTATTGTAAAATCTGTCTGAGCCACGAAAACACTGAAACAACTACACATTTCAAATTTGTTATTATGTTATTAGATTTTAATCTGAGCTGTGTACACTTTAAATTTGTACCATACAAAATACACATTATTACAGACAGTCACACTGTTGCTTTGAATTTTAGAGATTTTCAGAAAGGAAATATGTGTGTGAGGTGATTATTTATCCTTAATTTTTAATAAGCTTTATGAAATATTTATTTACAGTATCTTCATTATGTTTTCTGTATAAATTATACAGATATATTTTAATTGCATGAACTAAAAACAGATTTTTATAATTTGCTCATAATTCTCCCATTAAATCAATACAATAACTTTACAGACCAGGATTATTTCTCACATTTTATGTGAGAAATAATAATAGTGTTTGTCTTTGTATCAGAAGAACAAATGAGTTTGAGGGCAAACAAATGTCTTAAATCTGTTTTAGTTTTATTTGAGTATTGGTATAGCCCCTAATAGTAATAATAAGAGGGAATAAAAGGTGAAGGCGTCTTTCTTTCACTCCCGACTGTTTATCGGCTTTTATTCCTCCCTCACTTCTACAAAATGACACTTTTATGGCCAAATGATTTAGTGACACTCTGATGTGAGCGCTGACAGTGTGTGATATGAGTGTTTGATGTATACTGAGGTTGTAGGTGGTTGAAATATTTCATCTTATACAAACTCATAAACCATTGGTCACCCTCGATGCTACGAGCCACGGATGTTATTTTGGTGCCTGCCTGTATTTATTTTAAATATTGATAAGAAATGCCACCGGCTTAGTTCTATTAAATAATATTGTGTTGAATATTCCTGCAGCAATTAAAAGTAATTTTAAAGCCAACAAATTTGGCATTTGGGACACTTTTAAAAAAAAATAAAAGCAAATAAAAGCTGTTATTTGAACTTCATGACCTCATATGGAAGGTCAAACTTGTATCAGTGTTTATTGATAATTGATGATGTGAGGTGTTTCATTTAAAAATAAGATGAACGTTATGTTAAAAAGCACTTATAAAATGATTGGTTGCACTAAATAAAATGAACTGTGGTTAAATTACTAGCATGAATTGAACCTTTATTTCAGACTGGCTCCCCTTGCTTTGCAATAAGTGTTTATTATTAATGATTATCATTTTGGAATCAAACTTTTTTTATATTCTTTTAAAAGCAGTGGAGAGTCTAAGGTACGGTGACTCACCAGAGCCCTTAACATCAGAGGATTTCTACATTACACAAGTAAAACAAAACGATGGGCTAAAGGAAACCCCCAGGACTCTGATGGAAGCAACAAGCGTCCTTGCCTTCTTCCACAAGACTAACAGTATTTTAAAGGGTCAAAACTGACAAAGACAGGGTGACACGCTCAGTTAACCCCTGACACCTCGCCCCCCTTATCCCTTCACACTCTCTCACCTCCCATAATACCCCCACAACCCCTCTCCCCCAGCCCCACCCATGAACCATTAAGGCTGTTTTCTTGCAGGAAAAAAAGATGGCCACCGGAGGTCAGATCCAAGTCCAAAATAAATTGCCCTCTTTCCTGAGGCTCAGCCATTTTAATAGTACAGATTTATTGTGCTGTGCTTTTTGGAGGGTGATCATATGTATGTGGTCAGTAGCGCGTATGCAGTCTGTGACCCAGCCTCCCTCTCACGTTACACCCTATTTATAACATCCCCTCTGCCGGCTCCCCTCGTTCTGCAGTTCCTAGGAACCTCCTTCTGCTCCCAGCCTCGAGCTCCAGTCCCCTGTTCCTCCTGACATCTGAGAGGCTCTGCTGCAGCTTATCCTGGGCTAACTGTTTATCCTGTACAGCCTGGCAACTGGCCGCATGCTCCGGATTATCACAGGACACCCATTTCAAAACACACTTTACTTTCTACTCTGACTAATCGAGAGTATTTGAATTTTCTAACAGAAGGAAAAGGTTTTGGGATAGTCAAGGGAAAAAGAGAAGCATCTTGGATATGTGCTTGTGATCTTTTCTGTTTTTGCTTGATTTAGTAACTTCACACTTTTTGAGTTGCCCTTCTCACGTTTCCTGGAGGGCCGTGTGTGTTTGCACGCGATGGATCACACACTGTTTGGCTGCCTGCGGAGCCCCCACGCCCCGGCGCAGGCCCTGCATCCCGCCTTCACCCAGTCTCCCCTGACTCTGCACGGACGCTCGGACCACGTCTCCTACCCTGACCTGGCCTCTTCATCCTCCTCCTCCTCCACTTCCTCACCGTCGCCCTGTATCATCTCCAGCTACCCGGTCGATGACGGCCTGTTTCCCGGGCAGCACCACCACCACCACCACCCCCACCGCGGCCACCTGCCCTCCCAGCAGCATCACCACCCGCCTCAGCACCATACATCTTGGCATATCCCACAGATGCCTTCACCTGGCAGTAATACACGCCACAACCTTTGCCACCCGCACTCTCACTCATCCCATGACAACGGGCCCACGACCCCGGACCTGGGCCACCCTGGTGGACCCAGTATGTGCGCTAGCACACCCAGTCTGGGCAGTGGCAGCACCCCTACAGGGGCCTCCTGTGTGCCTGCAGACTTTGGCAGGCAGACTCTGTCACCTGCTGAGGCTGAGAAGAGGAACAGCAAGAGGAAAAGTGACAGTTCAGGTAAGAGGAGCTGAGATCAGTTTCTTACTTTAGTTTTTTAAGCCAGTAATGAAAACTGGAGCAACTCTAATGGCAGACACTTAGATATTATTTTATATAGAATATTATGAATATATAAGCTGTTTGTGATACACTGATTTATGTAAAATTCTTTGGAGGTATTTCCAACATCTCCTTGTTCACTCACATTGTTAGTTAAACATCATCACATAGATCAGTTTTTCAACAAATTCCAAGCAGAGCTTAAGAATAACACAAACATCTGTACTTGTCATAAATCTCTCAACACATAACTGTAGAGATTTTTGCAGCTCTGATAGAAAAACAAAAAGCTGTCTGAAAAGCAGTTTGTAGGTGTCGGCTGAGGTGTGGAGCAAAGGCCACATCGTAACTGTGTGGGCACATCTGACTACTGCTATGTTTTGTTTAAAAATCACATCTGGTTTGTTGCGACACTCTTCAGAGGGCAGAAAATGAGGCACACAGTAAAGAATTAATGTCATGGATTGTAAAAGACTACACCGGCGCCTCACGCCACACTAAACACCCCGACAGACTTTCAGGCTTTTCAGCCTTTTTTACATGCCTAAATCTCGTAGTTCAAATAAATCACAGTCAAGTATACTGAAGTAAAAGGAAATGAATCAAGTGTCTATGTAATAATAGGATGCAAAACTGATTTAGTTTTAGTTTTGCTTTTACATGGGTTATAAATTAGTTTAATAACACAAGTAAACCCTTATGTCATTATTACTTGTTGCTCTGAAACACTTGAGAGATTAGATAAAGCTAAATAGAGATTTATCAAATGAATTTATATTTATATGTATATATTAATATATTTGTATATATATTCAACTGTATGTTTTGTACAGTCAAGTGCATCAGAGCTGTGAGCCCCAGGGACACTTTTCTTGTGTAACTTTATAAAATTTGTGACACGAGAAGGCGGGTTCAGGCGTTCAGAGCTTGAGCTCTTAAAAATCACTGGCCTGTGTGTAAAGTTTTGAACATAAAAATAAAAATAATTAAGCTGTTTACGTGTTTAGATGAAATAAGGACACAGTCCTTCAATATACATTAAAAATAATACACACAAATTCTAAACAGAGATTAAAAAAAAAATTCTTTGCACAATTATGAAGACACCCCTCTTTTAGAACTCTTCTCAAACAGGTAACACATCCCTGATGACCTGCAGGACATTTCCAACCTGCAGTCACCACAATAATCAATCACGGCATGACAAACTGCCGAGTCGGGTCGCGGGAGTTCTTGCAGGGAACGTGATATTAGTGAGAGCTCTAGGTTTTCCAAGGAAAGTGTGCTCGCCTGTTCTCTCTGTCCATTTGAGGATTGCAGGCCGTCAGCGCTGATCCTGCACCCTTTTAAAGACCTCTTTGTATGCACAGCATATCACCTGCATTTGACCACGGACTGATATTCCCGCATGTGATCGGGTTCAGGATGCTGGTGGTCAACTCAGAGAGCATCTACAGTCCCTCTCAAGAGACCAGCTGGTGCTGCAGTTTACAGCCAGTTCACAAAACTGTGTGTTAAAATATGACTCTTCTTCTTGACTGCGATTAGCAGACGGTGTAACTGCACTGCATATAAATATGTTCAATATAATATGATCAAATACTAGAGAGAGCAGGTAAAATTCACATTACTCACTGATTTAACAGGAACTCCAGATGTCATAGTTATGTGCTAAAAAATGATAGATTCATGCAACACACAGAGTCTGGACGGCTTCATTTTCAGTTTTATAGTTCTATTTGTGCTAAATATCCTGTGTTTCACATACAAAATGTTGCAATTGTACATTTAATCTGCAAATTCAAGGCACCACCTCCTATTTCCTTTCCTCCTTAGTCAAATCATTTGGAAACCGAGCCTCGGTCTCCAAATCCCACTTCCCCTGTAACAATACTTACTGCATACTCATTACATGTGCGGTGCCTTCTCTCCACGCTAACACCAATCACGCTGATTATTGGGCCTAACTAGGTTGCTGACTCAATCAGCTGTCTAAATATTACACCGCTGCCAGTTGCATGAGATAGAGCCCTGATTAGGTTTCACCATCTGGACTCAGAAACCTGAATTTAGATACAGAAATAACAACAAAACTCGAGAGCTCATTTCCATGCTAGGTTTACCTCTTTCGCTCAAATATGAAGCATCTCAAATTTCGGTGTCTAATATTCGATTGTGATTGTTTCCTCAAGGAAGGCAGCAGGGTGGGCTAATGAGATGAGCCAGCTCCGTGGTATTTTGGGTGTCTGCTTTCTGGGGGAACCTGCTCATTCTTTGTGGCCAAGCTGGAGAGTTTCAGCCCTACAGAGTGTCGGCTGGTGCACTTTTCCTGCGTGTCTGGGTTATATTTGCATAGACGAGTGCTGTCATGGGAGTGGTCGTTCTTTAAAAAGTTACTAGATTTTCTGGGTGGAACAATAAAAGGTGCTTGAAGTCTTATTTTGTTGAGGCGGCGTTGTAAAACGGAGGAGCAAGGTCCTTGAAGGCCTCTTGCTGGCAGACACTTTATCCTAGAAGAAGCTTTAGAAAAACATTGCGGATGTGTTGTTGCATTTGAGTTCTTGTGTGTTCCGCTGCCATAATATTTTACGGAGGGAAAATAAAAAAATCACAACTTTCACTGAAGGAAAAACAACTAACACGCAATTTTCCATCACGAGAAAAAGAATCAGCAAATCAACATTTTCTTGCGAAGAACAAGACATTATTTTAGAGAGGGTCCCCTCCGCCACTGAGCTCACTTCATTTGGGATCCCTAAACGACGTGCCCTGTCTGGGTGCGTGTTTTTTTCTCATATTATTCCTCCTTTTTTGTGGAGAGATGAAAGTTACAGCGGGGACCTAATTGCTGTGGTGTAGTGGCTGTGTCATAAAAGCCTGCCGCTCGTTTTAACTCCAGGCCTGCTGGTCTGCACCAGCTGGCTGTGTTATTCTTTTATTTCTCTTTACACAATGTCTGTGTTTACCAGAGAGAGAGCGGATAAATACGTCTGACGGCCCGCTTCAATCAGCCACACACTGTTTGGAGCGCTCGGTTTGAAATTACAGGGAGGGAAAGGCAAGGTCAAGGGGGAGCTGGACACAGGCTGCGGGTCAAGCAATGATCTGTTTCATTTCATAAAATTCATGTGGGAATTCTTGCAGTTTATATATCTGTTTGTCCTTGGCTCTAAAACGGTGCAAGTGCCTTACCAATATAGCTTTTGTAGAGTAGTTTCAGTTTACCCCTCATCTTCTCTTTAGCCTCTCAAGGGAGTTATTTTACTCTGAAAAAACACACGCTTAATTAGAAGGAAGATCCTCTTTCCGACAGAAAAACAGAGCCGACAGGGGTCTCTCCGGGTGGAAGTCTTAGGTGAAGAGATAGTTATTGCTTTGACGTGGCTTCAAGCTTCGCACCATTTGTGAGTCTGGCTCTGGGCTGCAGGACTATTTACAGTTTGGCTTGACGCAGGCCTGCTGGATTAACACACACGACAGAACAGGACCACAGATGAATTAGCATGCAATCACTGCAGCCTTCAAGTGCAATGTGCAACTGAAGCGTGTCCAACAGAGAAACCACAAAGGCTGCTCACAATAGGAAAGTTTTGGAGGGCAAATAAACCGTACGTGTTTTCTTCAGAACGTCTGTGGAAATACCAAAACAGAAAGTATTTTTCCGGGGTGATGAGCAAAAGTGGAGATGACATGTGCTGGGGATTTTTATTCTCAGTATTTTTTCATATGTTTATCTCATATTTTTCTGAAAGAAATTCATAATATGTTGCAAGTTTCCCAGTTTTTTTAAGAATTGTTTATCTCGTGATTGAACGGAATTTATTGTTTTACTGCCATTCTGAAATCTGCAAAGAAAATATGAATCAAAAGATCCAAAGCTGAAAATACAATATTGCAAATAATGGTACTTAAGTAAAAAAGAAACTTAAAAATATATATATATTTTATGTGTCCTGCAAAACAGTTTTGTTCCATATTTAAAACTAAGGTTATAGCAGCAGATTCCTTTAAGACAAATTAAACCCATGTTGGCAGTATAAGAGCCAGCCTATTGTAACAGCACAGCTGCCACAGTCAGGCACACATGTGTAGCCGCCCGTGAGTCCTTCCATCCACTTAAAGTGTTCATAAACAATGACTGAACAATAAAGTGTGATTGACAGCTCCCATTGTTTCTCTTACCTCGCCTCTTTTCATCCCCTGCCGACTTGCACCTGCCACATAACACTTATTTTTATTTTTCTTGCATATAAATCTGCCCTGAGTGGAAGAGAAACCTGTGTGGTGTTTGGTTTCAGAGTCCCAGGACGGGAATTACAAGTCAGACGTGAGCAGCAAACCCAGGAAGGAGAGGACGGCGTTCACCAAGGAGCAGATCCGAGAGCTGGAGGCCGAGTTTGCCCACCACAACTACCTAACCAGACTAAGGCGCTACGAGATCGCCGTCAACCTCGACCTCACTGAAAGACAAGTACGTTCCCACCCACCGCAGCTTGTTTCCCCCTGGGTTCAGACATTATTGAACCCCCCATTAGCACATTAATGCCATGTTGTGAAAACAGACTCGGCCCCGGGACAGCAAAGAGGCTTTTCAGTTCGCTACTGTGTTTTTGTAACTCTGGTACGAGGGCTATTGTGCTCCAGATGTGGCCGTGTGATGGGACTATCATATTCCAGATGTTCCTGTCTATTCTTTCAAGCAGGCCACAGTCAAGGCAGGGAGACGGATTGAAGGAAGTGCTGTCTAGCAAGTCACTTCCTCTCTTCCACTACCCCTGCGAGCACAAATTGGTCTCTGAGCGTGGGCCGGCCGCTGTAAAACGCAGGCACATGAAATAAATAACAGACAAATGGTTGGGGGAAGGAAACGGCGTACAGCCTGTTGTTCTCTGACACCCGTTTGGAAGCTATAAGTCACACTAAGTTGACACCTTGCCAGTGATATTTTGCAGTGTGATACAGTGTAGATTGAATGTAAAGAACAGCCTAGAGTGAGAAACGAGGATAGAGTTTCAGATGAGGCCTCAGATACAAAAAAAACCCATATAGATCATGTGTTTGTAAAGATTTATGTACCCTATGTCATGCTACACTGAAAAGTATAATGATTGCATTCGGTGAGCAGTTAAAATTTGCTGTTGAAGGTGGATAATAACTAGAAGATCTTTCTCACTGTGGATATTTTGATTAAAACAAACTAATAACACCAGCAATGGCTCCATCCCACAGTACCAGGGTCCTGCTTTTTATTGTGCATGCTGGTTCAGTAGCCCAGCTCACTGGGACACCTAACTGGAACGGAGAGATTCATTTCATTAATGTTATTAGTTACACCTGCTTTTCCTGCAATCACATCTTCAAATGTCAGTCATGAGAAAGGTCCACAGGCCTCGGAGGTCTCGGAAATGTCAGCAGTATCTCAGAAACGGAGACGGTTTTCTTCAGTAAACACCTGATAGCAACCATTATTGTACAGTCATTGTTTGCTCCTCGGTAGACTACTCATACATTGTCTGTAGCTGAGAAAGTGAGTAATGTTGTCAGGGTTTGTGGTTCAATTCCCACTTGGGTCACCCATGCTAAAAATGTACAGTCTGCACCCACAGGGCTGTGTAAGGCGCTTCAGATAAAAGTGTCCATCGAAGGAAATCTGAATAAAAACGTCTGCAGTTGTGTGTTAAGGGCCTCTCAAAGTAATGCGAGCCGTAAATCTGCACAGTCGCATTTAAGTTCTTACTCCTCAATCTGAAAGCAACTGGAAACTGTGACATGAAAAGTGATAAATGCGTCATAAATTGTGTAAGTAACCCTCTGCTTTTGCTTCGCATTACAAAGGTGTAAAGAACTTTGAAGGAATACTTCTAAATACCACCACGTCAAGTTAAACTCCGTTTAACTCCACGGGGCCACCGAGCACACAGTTTGCCATTGTAATTCCACTTCAGCCTTCCCCCAGACTGTTGCAATTAATCTTTTTGTGGCTCGAAGCAGCATAAAATGTGCATGAAATTCATTCAGCTCATGCAGCATAAGTTCTGTGTGACCTCCGTTTTGTCAGGGAAAATATACAGCAGGAGATAGTGAGGTAAATATTGGCAATACAAACAGCTGGTCACGGCTCTTGATTTATGCTGCATGAGCTGTTTGCAGAAATTTGATGGATGTTTTATGTCTTTGTAGGGCCTGAGTAATTTCAAGGATGGCAGAGGTGGAGCTAAGGGGCCAAACGTCTTGCACGTTTGGAGTTTACACCAGCATGGGAATGGGAAAAAAAAGACTACATTTAAATTTTGGAATGAATTATTCCCAGTAAGCATCCCTTTTTAGATGAGTAAACCTCTGAATCAGTAATCTGGTTGAAAAGTGTTAGTAGTTACCTATAACTATTGTTTTAACAGCATTTAAATGACTAAATTTATAGGCAGCAATTAACATAAACATTGAAATATAGTCACTGAAATGCTGGTAAAACAACTGGTATGAGTAACCTAAACATCACCTTTTAACCAAATTTAGCGCAGGTTCTACCTAAAATGTCCAGATATATTTTGACTTGCCAACCAAGTCATACCAATTTGGTGCTTGTTGGGTTATTTTAGGCAGTCAGTAGTGTGTTTCTTGTTATGTTTCATGCTCTAAAAGCGAAGGAGTAGAGTGGGCCCATTAGTGCTCTATGGATGCTTAAAAAAGACATTTTAAACTAGTGGATTGACAGTTCTTCTAATCAGACAAAGGCTAAAATGGGACATTGAGGTCAGGAGTCTTTGATGTAACGTGATTGAATTGTGAGTGTCACTAGTACAGGTACAGTGCTGGTGACTCTGAATTGTGTGTGTGTGTGTGTGTGTGTGTGCACATTAGCCTTGAGGATCACATGTTTGGTTTGACATCAGAGCCTGGCATAAAGAAGTGATCCTCCGCTGAAGTCTCTCCCCCCCCCCCGCTCTCAGAAAAGGCCTGAGGCTTGTAAAGAATCCGAGGTGATACTCAGCACGGCGTACGCCCCTGACGTTTAAGACAAACGTTTGTGCTGTCAACTAACTTCCTGACCATGTGCCCGTTCTCTCTCCACGGAATGACACTCCCCAAAAATAAACCCACCCAGCCCTGCGTGACAGGAGCGAGCCTCCCCCCCACCCCCGTCCTCCCCCTGTGTCGACACTCTGAGGGCCTCT